AATTTAAAAAATAATTAAAAAAGGATTTAATTTAACAAGAAATTCAATTTTAAATACACAACATTTTAATATATAAATTTAAATATATATGTATTTGAAATTCATTTTTTTTTAAATTACTTCAAACAATATTTTTTAAATATATATATTTCAAATACACATATCAAATATAAATACGCATTTCTAAACACAGCCTTAGAACTTTTATCATTAGGCAAAAATTAATGAATAAAATTGTTCATCATCTTCTGTTGAAGAGGAAAAAAAATTATTGTTCTAAAGCCATGCAATTATGAAGTGAAAGGAAACATTATCTATCCGTTGATTTGAGTAAAAAGAATTTAGTTCTTTAAATAAAATCTTGAATTTGAGTTTTTTAAATAAAAAGGTAAGTGTTAGAAGAATTTCTCTTATATAAAGTTTAATATGGTTTGATTATTAATTAATTAAAATTTAATGTGAGTTTTAAATATCAAGAGATTTAATAATATATATATATATGAAAGGAAACCTCTCTCGTTTTATTCTACCCTTTATTTTCATTTGAGTAAGGAAAGTTTGTGTTTTCTACTCGAAAGTGCAATGTGAAACACAAAAAATTACTTTTGGCACTCGAAATTTTACGAAGTTTATCCAAAACACAGTGAGAAGTCAATCTGTTGTTGATTTGTTCTCAAGACAGGTTCATTTACCTTAGCTTAATTCGCTTTCGGTTTCGATTTGGCTTCATTCATGAGTCAGATCAGATCTTGGATTCTGGTTGATTTGGTTTCCTTGCCCAAAGGCATATATCAACGTCGTCCTCTTGCTAACACGCGGCACACTAGCACCATGAATGTCCTGCTTTGTGTATTCATCGACACATAACCTAAAGCCACCAAGTCTTCGGCTCATCCGAAATTTACCAAATGGTCAACAGAGGGCACAGTTACTGTAGTAGAGCTATCAAAATTGTAAAATATTATTTTTAAAAAATATTTTTTTATTTAAATTCAATTGATAATAATAATTAATATAATAGTTAATATTTATTAATTAATAAATTAGTATTTTTAAATAATATTTTAAAAAAAGTTAAAATTTTAATGTTTTTAATGTTTTTAATTTTTATTTTTTATAATAATAACCACATCCATAAAGAGATGGCTTGCCATGTCATCACCGCCTGTTATGAAATGTGGCAAAAGCAATGTAGATGGAAAGAATTTAACGACAGTGGTGTAAGAAAAGGTGTCAAAAGTTATATAAATTTTATTATTATTTATTTAAAGATATAAATTGTTT